GATTGCATTTATGTTAAAAATTTCATTCTACAGATGTAGACACATACACACAAATGAACAAAAGGTCTGAGGTAACATACACCTAATGTTAACAGGAGTCTACCCAAGAGAAGGGAGGGCCTGGGTGGACTACAGATCACGCAGGGTGCTCATCAAAGGCACTTCAGTTTCAGTAGCAACATTTTCATTTGACAACCAGAATATAGTTGGTTATATCCCCAATAAAAAGTTCAGTTGTTTCATTTAGTGTGCTTTACTTTCAGACCCTTAATTCTACCCACCCCTCCCTACCTGCTTCCTCACATCAATGAAATTGCCTTTTCCTACATGAGGTACTCTAACATGGTTTCAGTAATAATTTTCCTCCATTTATTTTTTTTCCCCAACTAATCATACGTATGTCACTTAAAAGCAAGTAAGTGCTGTCCCTGGCATGGCCTAGTATTGTTAAAAAAAATAAATAAAAATAAAAAGAAGTAATTTTCTAGTTTAAGTGATTTAACAGCTATAAAATAATGGATACAGGGAATTTCCCTGGTACTACAGGGCAATTACGATAGTAAATTCTATTTTTTTCCTCATTATTTGATCAGGTTGTTGAGAAAGAAATGGAATTGAGGACTATTTTATTCTAGAATTTGAAAAGGTCAATTCAAGCAGGTATTCCCTCAGATCGATCAATCAGTTACACTTCAAGGCTAGGGTTCTATGACAAAAGTACTCAAAATACTGTCACAAGAGTCCCAGATTAAATGGCAGTGCATTAAAAAAAAAAGGCACTGCCTAACTCAGAGTACTTCATACAAGATAAATGTGAATCAGTGGCCTTGGCTTAGAACATCTAAAAGAAAAACTAAGCAATTTTTGGCCAAAACCATGAACCTAGCATCATTGGAAATCACAGTAGAAGGCTTAAAATCTGTCACCTTTTAATCTCGTTCTGTACTCCTGTACACCAGGAGGTATTCAGAGAGGACTGTAGGTGTGTGAGATCTCTAGTGTTTATCATCTGTAAGATACAAAGAATCTCTAGTACAGGATAGATTTAACATGTATATAAATAAGACTAACACATTTCTCTTAAACTTTCCTCACCAACCAAGATCTCCTCCAACTAAATAGAAATTATTTCATTATTGAATTAAGAATGTTTAGACCCAGTGACAATTTTTTATGGTGCTTAATTACCATTTCATGAAATGCAATTATCAATCTAGGTTCTCCAAGACAGTTTTTTATGTCTATACCAATGCTTTTGATTGAGAGGAGGGGCAATTTTGCCCACAAGGGTGCATTTGATGATATCCAGAGACATATTTGGTTGCCACACTGGGGAGGGGGACTGCTACAGGCATCCAGTGGGTAGAGTCCAGGGATGATGCTAAACATCCTGTAACATACAGGACTGCCCCCTGCAGCAAGAATTATCATGGTCCCAAATGTCAATAGAGTTGAGACTGAGAAACCCTGCTCTATACCAAATCCCCAAATACCAAATGCTTAGAGTTTGTTTTCTTATTAAATCTGAACTTTATTGTATGCTTTTGACCTAAGAATTCTTTTACGTCAAGCTTACAAGTATGCTCAAACCTTTATAAATTCAAGCCAGTGATCAAAAATAAAAATTATGAAGCCATTATGAAATCAACCCTACATCTGCCAAAGTAACTCCTGCAGAACAAGAACAGGTTTCAAGGACAATGGGAAAATCTAAAACTGAAAACTCAGAAAGTCAATCTATTCCCAGAAAACTGTTCTACAGCTAAAAGAAAATGCCATGTTGTCACCTTTCCTAGCTACAAGCTTGTAGTTGCAGGTAGTATTCTCTACTCAAAGTAGAACACCTACAGAAATGCAAAATCAAGAAAGATCAAGACTAACCGCAACCTAGTTCTATAATATTCCTTGTCAAGTGAATATCATGCTTTAATTTTGCCCTCCAAGAAATTTTATCTGCAGTCAGTCATAAAAACAGCTCATCCAAAGGCTATTTTGCTGTAAAATCACGACTGACCCAATGTATCAAAGATATGTAAAATCTCAAGCACAATGAAAATACATCTAAATCCCGAATGTCTAAGTTGTGCCTTACCTTTTCAGTTTCCAGACAAACAGATTTAACTTAAGCACTGTTCATTTCTCATCTTTCCCCTACATAAACACAATTGATACAATAGGAAAGTGTTTATGTGACTTACAATTTTTTCTGATCCATAGATCTTCTCCAGCTGCTCAGCAACATCCTTTGTTCCATCTGGGCTTCCATCATCTATGATTATAATTTCATAGTTGAGCCCACTAAAATAAAAAAAATTCAAATTTGTATTGTTTGAAGACAATATTCTTAAATTAAAAAATAATTTTAAAATTACTAATTCCTCACTAGTGTTAAGTGGAAAATTATTGCTATATTCATCACTAAGGAAAATCTCATTACCAAATGAAATGTCCAATATTTTATACTTCACCTCCAAACTCAGCAAGTTGCTAGCAAATGCTATTATAAAGTCCAGAGATGTTGAAAAATTCTCACAGAAAACATACTCTTTGGTTAAAAAAATACATATATATACTATATGTACTATTATGTATGTATTGCAGAGCATCATGAAAATTTTGTTTACCTACTTTGGAAATGGAACTGTGGATCTTAATATCGAATCTTAGATGAAATATTTCAAAAGAACATTTAAAGATATCTCAAATTGACTCAGTAGTTGAGATTATTCTTTTTAACTTAATCCAATATAAATATAACCAGGAATGCTTTAATTTCACCCTTAAAAACACCCCACATTAGAAAGCTGACATAATCTTTTACACCACTATTTGAAATAGTTGTACCTATTATACCACACTATTAAATAAAAAGCAGGACAGAAGTACAAAAGATCTCAAATGTGTTTCAAAATTAACGTATTTTTATTTCTCATGCCATAGTTTCTATTCTAAAAACAAGCCAAGATAATACTAAGATGTACTGTGATAACGTATCATGTCTCTCCCAGCCCCCTTTAAAGACATTCTTTTAACTTTACCAAGAAACTTAAGGGGTAAGAAAAGGAGTCACTGCAAACCCCCACAACACAACAGTGTTTCCTCTTGATCTTGCTTTAAGAAACACATTCCACTGTTAAAAGCTTTTAAAAGGTCAGCTCCAGCAAAACTGGAAGAAAGCAAAACTCAGCCTATCTATTCTCTTAAGAGTAGATAAGATCTGTTTCTTGGGTGCCTAAAATTTGGGTATGTGTTTTACAAAGCCAAACAGTAAGATGTTGATTCTTGTTGTTGTGCTGAAAGGTATACTTCAGAAACAAAAGAGGTCATTCATAAGCAGAATTAGTGCCCTCTGCCACTTCAAAGCCCAGGTCACCTGAGGGTGAGGTAGCTTAAAAGGAATGAAGCTGAGCTGGCTTTAGATATCTGACTTTATCCAAAATGTTTCCTTCGTTAAACTTCATTTTTGATTAAAGAATATCCACCCAGAAACCATTAAAAGACAAACTGCACTACATAAAAAATTTAAATAGGGCAAAAAATACGGTATGATCAGAGGACAAACAGGAACAAGATTAGCTTTGTGACAGTTTCCCTCATTTGGAAAGGGTTTGTAGAAATCAAAATAAAAAGGTAACTAAATGTTTAAAAAGAGCAAAAAATATGAAAAACAATTTGAGGAACCACCTATGTTAAAATAGTTACTTCATTCAAAGAAACACAATGAAAAAACCAATGCTTTTCACCAGCTAGCATTTCCAACCATGTAAGTTTAAATAAAGGTCAGCCTGGCTGTTGGTGGGGAAACAGGCACTTTCTGAAGAATGCTGCAATTCCTAAACCGGCAATTTTTTTCTGAGAGCAATTTGGCAAGACCTGTCCCCCTTTAAACACATCTTCATCCACCCAGGAATTCCACTACGAAGACTTTATATATCTCCAGTGTACTAGTAAAAGTATGCGTGCTTGTTGCAACGTCCATCTAACAAAAGAACACTCACTATGCGTCAAGCAATTTTCTAAATGCTGGAAAATGTGGTGTGAATCCCCATTCTCATTTGTAAAGCAAAATCAAAACAGAAAAACAACAAAAAACTTCGTTAGTAAGGTGTTCACCGATGTGACCCAGTTAAGATAAATTATAACGCAGTCATATGGGATATTACCTAATTTTCAAAATAAAATAAATTACTGAGTTTGTACGTGCTAATACGGGAAGATCTTCAAAGCTTATACAACACGACTGCATTGGTGTAACCGTAAAACAAATTACCTTGTACAGAAACCAGGATTTTAAGTTTTTAAAAAGTTGTGTAACACTTTCAAATTCAGACTCCAAAACCCCCCGATCTCTAATAACCACATCAAACATCCACCAGTGATCAGCGAGGTTGCCCTTCTGTTCTCTCTAGAAAAGATGTCCACCTCCCCCGAAAAGCTCCCTAATCAAGAGACTAAACCTCATGCTTACATAAGCACTCAGCACGGGGGCGGGAGTGAGCGTACTTAAGACTCCCGGCTCAGATCCTGAACCACCCAGAGTAGGGGTGAGGTCAGCTTTTCGGCCTCGCCCACGTAAAAGGGTGGCGAACCCCTCTAAGAAAAAGGCGGGGGTGGCGGGAAGGGAGCGTATAATAAAGGGGTGTTTCACAAAACCTAAGGGCAGGACTGAGAACCCGAGACACGGGAGGAACCCCAGATGTATCCACCTCTGCTTTTCTCGCAGGGTGGCCTTCGCCCCAAGGATTCCCGCATAAGCCGGAGAGATCCGGCAAGGCCGCCGGCCGACACGCAGGCCGGGGAAGCCAGCTCATCTCGGTCCTTGGGGAGGGCTCCGGGCGCGCTACCTCTCGGAGAAGCTTTTCACCAGCAGCCACACGATGAGCGGTAGGTTCTCGCGCTCGTTGTAGGTGGGCAAAAGCACCGAATACTTATCCGGCCGCGAGACGCGCCCCCCTGGCGCCCGCCGAGTCCTAGGAGAAGTACCACTCGCTCCCGTCGAAGCCATGGCGGAACTGCGAGAGACGCCGGAAACGGAATGACGTAGACGCGGCGCGGGAAGGGGACGGATTGGACTGTACCAAATTCGGAAAAAGATTGTCTGGTTGCACTCTAGTTCTCCTAGGACCCTCTCTATGGTTTAATTGGAAATATTCAGGACTTGTGAGTCTTTAAAGTTGAATCTGATTGTTGCTCCAGGACATACAGGTCTTTACCACCTTTTCCAAATTAAAGTTTTTTAGTTTATTCCAGTAGCTAGGCGACTGTAAGTCGGAAACGGAAATGCCTTGCCAGACAACTTCCGGAATGGGCCGCCATGGCTGCCAAGGAGGAGGTGCTCGCTTTGCAGGCTGAAGTTGCGCAGCGTGAGGCGGAGCTGAGGTCCCTGAAGCAGAGGCTGGCGGCTGCTCTATTAGCGGAGCCGGGGCCAGAGCGGCTGGCTCCGGTGTCGCCCCTGCCACCGAAGGCCGCCCTGTCCCGAGATGAAATTCTGCGGTATAGCCGGCAGCTGGTGCTGCCTGAGCTAGGCGTGCACGGTCAGCTGCGCCTGGCGACCGCGTCCGTGCTGGTCGTGGGCTGCGGTGGCCTCGGATGCCCACTTGCGCAATACCTGGCAGCGGCCGGTGTAGGCCGCCTGGGCCTTGTGGACTACGACGTAGTGGAAATGAGCAACTTGGCCCGCCAAGTACTTCATGGGGAGGCTTTGGCTGGCCAGGCCAAAGTTTTTTCGGCCGCCGCCTCGCTGCGCCGCCTCAATTCCGCGGTGGAGTGCGTGCCCTACGCTCAGGCGCTTACGCCTGCCACCGCGCTAGACCTAGTCCGCCGCTTTGACGTGGTGGCCGACTGCTCTGACAACGTGCCCACTCGCTACCTGGTTAACGACGCCTGTGTGCTAGCCGGCCGGCCTCTCGTGTCGGCCAGCGCCCTGCGCTTCGAGGGCCAAATCACAGTCTACCACTATGATGGCGGGCCTTGCTATCGCTGCGTATTCCCCCAACCACCTCCAGCGGAGACTGTAACCAACTGTGCGGATGGCGGGGTACTCGGTGTGGTAACTGGGGTGTTGGGTTGCTTGCAGGCGCTAGAAGTGTTGAAGATCGCTGCGGGTTTGGGCCCCTCTTACAGTGGGAGCCTGTTGCTCTTTGATGCTCTCAGAGGACATTTCCGCTGTATTCAGCTGCGGAGCCGCAGGCCGGACTGTGCTGCTTGCGGGGAGCGACCCAGTGTAACTGAGCTGCAAGACTACGAAGCCTTTTGTGGCTCCTCAGCCACTGATAAGTGCCGCTCCCTGCAGTTACTGAGCCCAGAGGAGCGAGTTTCTGTTACCGACTATAAACAACTTCTGGATTCTGGGTCACCTCACCTGTTGCTGGATGTCAGGCCTCAAGTGGAAGTGGACATATGTCGTTTGCCTCATGCCCTACACATCCCTTTGAAACATTTGGAACGTAAGGATGCGGAGAGCCTGAAACTTTTAGGAGAAGCAATCCAGGAAGGGAAGCAGGGTACTCAGGAAGCGACGGCTCTCCCAATTTATGTGATTTGCAAACTGGGCAATGATTCCCAGAAAGCCGTGAAGATCCTGCAGTCCTTGACAGCAGTTCAAGAATTAGACTCTTTAGCTGTTCAGGATGTTGTGGGGGGCCTCATGGCCTGGGCTGCCAAAATCGATGCAACATTTCCACAGTACTGAGGTGGCTGGTAGTCTGACCTTGGAAAGATGTGGATTGCCAAGCTACCCTAACTACATTTATTTGCGTTTTTTGTATATTGTATGAATCAGCCTGGGGTTCTCCAATATGTGTGAATGCAAGGACTCATTTTTATAAGGGGCTTTTTAAATTGTAACATGGGGCAACTTAATTATGTTACTGTTTTAACAGCTGTCCACGTTTTCAGCGTTTGGAGGGTGTCTTGAACATGTGAGATAAAACATGACAAGGTTTTGTGTTGAACTGCAGATCATTTGCCTGTCCTTTTTCTCCCAGCTTCTCCAAACACTTCTTTAAATTGTCCATTTTAATGCTTAGAAAAGTGTAATGCACTTATATCACAGGAGATATATTTAGTGTCTGTTTATTGTTTACAAAGACATTCTTTGGATATTACTCCTACTTCAGGCAATAGAACACATCACACAGAAAAGTGTTTAAAGTCATCTAAATTATCTGTGAAGTGATCGTTTTATTAAATATTTTGAGTTAATATCACAGAGATATTTATAGCTTAGCAAGATAAAGGAAACCACATTGTAGTCTGTCACTTATAAATTGCTGTTTTTTTTCTTAAAGTTAGCTTCAGTGGGTGGTCCACCTTATGATATACACACAGAACAGTTTCTAAACTCAACTGTGGTTTGGCTTGCTTTGGAATCTTCAAGTCCAAGTCCCAAGTTTCTGCTTTCCCCTGAACTTTATCCAATCTGTTAACTTCCTACTTTTCTGTTAAGGTCAGGATGCCAAATACAGTATTGAATGACAGTGGAATAGTGAATATTCTTATCTCCTTCATAACCTCAGATGAAAAACTGACTTTTTAACCAATATCAATTTTACTGCTTTACTGTAGGTTCCCTTTATCAGAGTGGAGAAATTTCTGTCTATAGTTTGCTAAGAGTTTTCACTGGATTTATCAAATGCTTTTCCTGCGTTATTGGTTATGAGCTTTTTTCCTCTTACAATGAGTCACATTGGTGACACAAAAAGTTGTGGAAATAAATGACAGACATGGTGAGGACAGCAAATGTGGCTGGCTTGTGTCTCAGCTTCTTGCTCCTGGGACAAAAGCTGATTCTGATACACAGGAAACAGTGGGCAGACATAGGAACTATTTCATATTATGAAGACTGATGTCCTAAAGTTAGGCGGCTTTGGTAGTTTTTGCAAACAGAAGCTGATTTTTGTTGATTAAATGGAAAAAAGGCTGATTAAAGCAGTATGAGATGCTTTTGAGAATTTTGGGGACAGATGGGAAGCTATACTTCCAGGAACAAAACCCAAAACCATGCACAGAGCTGACCTCCTGAGAACATTGCCTGTGCTGTGCAGCACCATCTAGTACTGGGGGTCACTGCCAGCACAGTTGCTGGCTCTCACTTGGCCCCACTTCTCAAAAAGCCCAACACTTCAGCCACAGCTCAGGGCAGAAGGCAGTCATTTAACATTGCTCTTCACTGAGTCAGTCTTACTAGGGTGTGTCTGGTGGAGCCTAGTCCCATGCCTACATCCTATCTGCATGCATGGCTGGGTATTTGAGTTCCGACATCCTGAACTTACAATATGGGATTTTCTCATGTACGTGAAAGGTTTTACAAAATATGGGCTGTTAAGAATGTGACAGGTATTCATTACAGGATCCATATCATTTTATTCTTCAAAATTCTGTTTTCTCGGGATTGCGGCTAGGCTTTTACATTTAGTTGGGATTTGAACTTGATTTTTTTCCTTTTCATTTAACAAACATCAAGTGTACCACTTAACTATTTTAAGCTCAAGATAAAGATGAACAAGAAATTTCCCATTGTTAAGGAATATACATTTCAATCGGTGTGTGTGGGGGAGCAAATCAGTAGTTGGTGTTAAGTACCATAAAAGAAATGAAACTGAAGGGGTGGGGAAGGAGGAGTTATTTCAGACAGATTAATTTGGGTAAACCTTCGGAAAAGGGTTGAAAGGAAACCCATGCCTGAGTGGTGAGCAGGAACTAGTTCGGTCTGGGAGAACATCTCACACTGGGAAAAAACAAGTGAAAAGACCCTGAAGCAGTTACAATTGTAATGTTCAAGACTGCAGAGGGAAGCTGGATGGCGAACAGCTGGGGAGAGTACAACAAGGTGAAGTTTAGGGAGAAAGGGAATATGTCATATAGGTTATAGATCATAATAGGAGTTTCTATTCTAAGCAGTATAATAGCTTTTACTGAGCACTTACTAAGTGACTTGGGCTTTGAACTCAGATGGCCTGGCTGATGAGCCTGTGGCCTAAGCATGTTAAACTGACTCTCAGAACTTTGTTACTGTGTTACATATTTTCACTTTTGAAAAACAACCCATACCCTGATCATCACAGGATGGAAAGAGCCCGTATTTCAGATGTAGCAGGAGTGTATTCTGGTGCACTTGGTTTGCAGACTTCTCTTTAGGGGAGGAACACCAGAGTGAAATCCCTGGGAGCCCATTGACACCAGTGTGTTACTTAGCTAATGTCCAGTTAAGAAGCCACTTTGGTCTAGGAAAGTAAAAAAGTCCCAATGTGAAGAGTCAAAGCTAGTAAATGGAAGGGCTTAGTAAAGAGGCAGGTTAAAAAAGGAGCAGTAATTCTCCTGCAAGTGTTCCCATGGGAGAGGAGGGATTTTATTTTTCCTCCAAGTTTGTTCATTTTTAATTATTGGCTTCCTCCTGCAATAGCAGAGGGTCCCCTCAAAGCCAGGGTGGAGTCAGGTACATAGCTCAGTTTGCTCTGCTTTTAGGAGAATCTTTGCTTTTATAGGTTCTTAGGTTTCCATTTGTGGCATGAGGTAGGCCTGTCTAGGTAATGGTAAAATCTCATCATTTGAAATCATGCTCCTGTCTTAGGATTCAGGATAGTTCTCGAGGCAGTTTGGAATATTAGGAAAACTACTCTGGTGCAGAAGTAGGAAAGTACCTTGCAAATAAAGTGTTAGAAGAGGTTATTTCATACCTTTGATGAACTACAATTTCAGAAGCCCTCAGAAGAGGAGTGATAAGTTAATTAAACCAGCCCAGAATTTTAGTGGTAAATTGTGTGTGTGTGTGTGTGTGTGTGTGTGTGTGTGCATGTGTATCAAATTTGTGTATGTATACAATTTGTGTGTGCATATGTTGGGGGGATTGAGTTTATTTTCCTTGGTTCTTGTTCCTGCCACAACAAAGAATTGAAGGGCAGAGACACATTAGTGAAGTGGAGCAAAAGTTTTATTTGAATACACTCCAAAGAAGGAGCGGGCTGGAGTCAAGGTAGACAAAGGTAGCTTTACTAGAATAAAGCAGAGAGGAAGGAAAACTAGAGGGAGGAAAGGGAGGCTCACTGAAGAGCCACTCAGCATAGAGCATAATCCCCTGCCAACTCCTAAAGCCAGTGTCACCTGGCATCCAGTGTCCGCTTGGATCTGCATGGCAGGGGAACTAAGTCCCTGCCTCCCCAGGGTTTTGGGGAGACACAGAGCACTGGATGGAGTGAGTTTATGTTCTAGAAGTTTCCAAAGGCAAAATAAATTTTCAGTCAGGGTACTAAGGAGCATGATCATACAGCTACAGTTCTGTCCAGGGTCCCAGGCAACAGGAACTTGCCAACCCAAATCAGAGCTCTCTGTAGCCCCTTGTTACTTATCTGAAGTAGGACAGAGAGAGTGACACACTTGAAGAAAGGTGGGTGCGGGCAACCTCAGAGAGGAGGCATACTTAAGGTTTTGGGACCTGGGGTTTCATAGGGCCTTTTTGGGTAAGGGTAAGGCACAATGTGTACAGGTTATTCATAATTCCTTTGAAGTTTTGTCCTAAGAATAGGGTTATTTAGGTGATTTTGTTGGTCCGATTTTGTCCTCGTACATTTATTTATACTTCTGAGATCTGTTTCCTGCCCTGGTTACAAAGTTACTTGATTAGGGGCTGGAGGAAGAGGAAAAAAACAGCATATAGGTTAAGTGAAAGAATAAGCTGGGCATTTTAGGAGGCTAAAGTAAATTTTTTAATGGCATGATCTAATTGGTACAATGAAGACACATGCTGTGCTCGGATACTTTTCTTTATCTGGGGAATATCCAGACATTCCAAGCTGCTCTTGGCCTTTGGAACTTCAGCTAATTAACTCATGAACTCTGGGGGTCTTTTCCGGCTCTCTAGTTCTCCCTGGTTAACTGAGTCCCTTTTAGGGGGCTTTAGTGGCCTACTCTCCCTCCACCCACTTATATCTATATTTCTGCCTAATAAATATAAAGATTTATTTTATTATGAAGACTTACATACTGACACTGGTTTTGCCTTTTAATCTTAGTCCAATTATTTAGAACTTGAGAAGCAACGAATTGTGAATTATCTAGGTGTTTTGTTCCTGACTCAGTGCCTTTTGCTGGACAGGTTGCTGAAGGTAAGGAAAGAGAAAAGGCTGGTATCTTAAAATTGTCCTTCTTAATGGCGCCTTTGTTAATGGGTGACATCGATGGAAGACGTTTTGCGTAACTTTTAATTAGCAGTATTTGCCTTACTCAGTGCTTCCAGATGACGGAGGCCTGACACGGAATTTACCAGACCAAAGTTCAGTTGAGTTCAAACAGTTGACTCTTAAGTACAGTAAAACTCTCAAGTAAGGCTTGCTGGGTCTAAGAGCAAAAGGAAGCAGCACTTTTTACAATCTTGACTTGGTCATCACTTGGGAGAAACTGAGTGGTCTATGCAAGAGCCTCCCCACTGCCACCTCCTTCCTCACTGGCAGGGCTGAAAATGTCGGACTCCTTTCCCAGTATCCCCTGCAGGTTTTGAAGAAACTGCACTTCTAAACAATTTCTTCCATCAAAAACAGTCCAAATCTGTCCAGCTCTCACTATTTCCTCCGCTGCCACCCTAGTCAATCCATCTCTCCATCAAATGTATAGCTTTTCAGGAAGGCACACACCATCAGTCGCATCATTGAGTACCAGGGGCACTAAATCTTAGGTCTTAAGATAACAAGGGGGGTACCTGTGCACAGCAGGAACTGCTACCTCATGAACAGCTGTTAATAAATATAAAGGTCCTTTTGGTAGTCTTGAGAGTGGTGAAGGGAAATAGGACTTTTGGATCACAAGTTTCTCTTAATGACATAATAACAATAATTAAGTATTTATTTTGTACAGAGCTTAAAGGAATTCTCAAACTCAGTAATCACAGCGGTGAGGCAAATAAGAGTAAAGGTGGCCAGCTGGGAATTATGACGACTTGGAGTTTGTGGCACATTGAAAGCTACTGCACACAGCTTTAGCCAACTTTGTTTTTTTAGAATTTTAAGAATATCTGAACATTTGGAGTTTTCTGGGTGATCTCCTGATTTTCAAATTTTCAAATTCTGAAACTGCTTATGAATTGAAATATACCCCTAGGCTGGATGAAGCCTTTAGGCTTAAAAGGAAAAACAAAACAAAACATGATTTGGGTCTTATTTAATTTGGTGGACATGGAGTTAGCTTAGTGTAGGGGGAAGCCTAAAGCAGTTTTAACAGTTTGTTAACACCCATATTTTGTTTTCATTTATAGTGTATTTATAAGCTAATCATCTTAAGCAGTTCAAGTTTTGAAGAAAAGTATACTTTTTGCTCATTTTAATGGCTTTTACATTTATACATAGGTGATTTGAGATTGATATTTTTCAAAAGACTAAAAAGTGGAATTGGGGTGCTGTGTGAACTATCAATCTTTTGCTTTTCCTAGTATTTTGATGAATTGGTGATTGAAAGTAATTTCGTTGATGAATGCACTTATGGAATAATCCGAGTGCAGATGGAAGAAAGTGATGGAAATGAGAGTTTGCCCATGATTCTTTTGGAGATTTGCACATGTAATGATTTAGGCTGGTTTAGACCCATCTATTAACCTCTAGCAAGCAGGAGAAAAGAGTGGCAAATGGATTAGGTGTTGTAAAAAAATCAGAGAGATAGATGATTCATAATGATGACCTGGAAAAGAGATTTTATTATCCTTTCAAACATTTCTAAATTTAAAAAGCAGAATATGCCTTTGAAGTATCAACATCC